GGATGTGCACGGGTGGGTAACCGCAGCGCCCTCCACCCCCAATGCCCTGGGCAGTTGTCCCCCCGCCACTGAAGCGGCCGTGAAGAAGTCCCATCCCTCTGGAGCCCGGCCAGGACTGGCCGTTCCAGCCCAGCGCACGGTAGAAACCCCTGGCCAAGGCCCCACAGCCTTGCTCTTCCCCAGTGCTGGGGCGTGTGTGGGGATGTGCACGGGTGGGTAACCGCAGCGCCCTCCACCCCCAATGCCCTGGGCAGTTGTCCACGCGGCTCACCCATAAAGCCAGTCCCTCCTCAAAAGGGGCCACACCCCCCATACCATGCCAACCTCACTTCTGTGCTGCTGCTGGTGGAGCTGCCTTCAGAGCTGGGCGCCCGGCCAGCAGCAAGGCAGATCTCAGCCTACAATGCGTTTTCCCTGGCTGTGAGTTGGGGAGGGCCCTACGTATAACCTATTGCACGCACCAGGCAATTCACCAGGAAGCAAACGTGCAACCCCCGGGCCACACGGGCCTCAGCTGGGCTCCAGCCACGATCCAGTGACTTCAGAGCCACAGCACCAATTTAGTCCCCAAGTTCTTCTTTCCAAGCCTCCGACTTCCCCGTCCACCAGCGGCTTGGCAAAGATGACGAAGGCAGGGGCAGGCGCTCTCCCCGCGGCCCAGCAGAAACCCTGACTCACCCCAAGCCACGGGGGAGTGGCGCTTGCTGTGTCAAGCAAGAGCCATGCCTTGACCTTGCAATCTCAACGGTGCTTAGCAAGCCTCTGAGAAGGGCAAGCCAGAGGCCATGGCTGGAGGCATCTGTCAGGAGCCAGTGCCAAGCCCGGCTTAAGCCAGGGGGCAAACGTCTGAATGTTCGAGCTGGCTGGAAACCCCGCAGGCCCCTCTCCGAGCTGAGGGCTGAGGAGTTTCCCCACCAGGCAGGGCCATTCATCTCTACCAGCCCATGACAGATTTCACCGGGAGTCAGGTCGTTCTACAGCAATGCAGGGTAAAGAGGCTTCTAAGCCAACTCAGGGACACCTCCCGAGGCCTGGTCATTCCCTAGCTGTTACCTCAGGGTTTCTAGCAGCTCCTCTGCACCGTCTAGTGGGGCAGAGCCCTGGAGACAGGGGTCCTGGTCTAACAGGGTCTGGCCAGCCCTACGTCACTGTGTTCTGCAAGGGGTGAGGAACGTGAACAGACGTATTTCTGACGCCAGGGCAGGCTCTCGCTGCTGCCTGCTCTGCCCCTCGGGACGCGCGGGCTGTCTGGGCCAGGAGCCGGCGTTCCTTGGGCAAGGCCCATTGCTGGAATAAATATGGGCGGGAGCAGCGAGGAGCCTGGGGCTGAGACACGCCTGCCCGCCCAGCGTCCCTGCTTGGCTAGAACCAACACGCCAGACAACTGGCAGGGAAGGGGGAGAAAGTGACTCTGGGAAGGTTTCAGCCCAGAGTCTAGGGATAAGTCAGCCAGTTGGGGCTGGTCGGGCGTCAGGTCTGTCCTACATGCTGCCTCCCCCCAGTCCCCACCAGGGCTGCGTGGGGCAGGGAAGGGGTTAGACTAACTGTGGGGCAGAGGGCCAAGCGTTACCCTCTGCTTGGATGACATGGAGGGGGTCCCCGTCGCTATGGTTCACCCCAGTCTAGGATCCAATTCAGTGCTGGCCCCCGCCTCCCCCCCCACTACAGCCCCCAGGACACTAACTGTGGGGCAGAGGGCCAAGCGTTACCCTCTGCTTGGATGACATGGAGGGGGTCCCCGTCGCTATGGTTCACCCCAGTCTAGGATCCAATTCAGTGCTGGCCCCCGCCTCCCCCC